CGACTGCAGCGTCCGTCTGGAGGCGCGAAAATGGTAGTCCACCTCCAGGCGAACGCTGCCAGATACGGGCTTCGCGCCTACCCCAGCAAGACGAACGTTCTCACGAACTGCCCCTGCGACGCGGGCAGCGCAGCGCTCGCTGGCGATTCCCGAGTCGAGATTATTTTGCCAGGGGGGTCCGAGAAGTATTTGGGCCGAGTCATCAATCTGGAAGACTACCACGGAACAGAACTTTCGAATTGCATGTCATCAGCTTGGAGAGCATTTGCAACCTTCCGACGCGTTCTGCAGCTCACGGAGGTATCCATTATTTGCGAGGCTGAAGTTGTTCGACTCGGCAGTGACTTCGACAGCCTTATATGGATGTTCGAGCTTGGTGTTGAAATTGGCCGACCAGAGAATTATCCGAGGAGCCCGGCGGAAAATGCCGAGGAAGATCTTCAAAATCCCGCGCAGGCACGAGGAGGAGTAGATAGACTACATCCAACGGTCCACCCGTCTGCGCGAGCAGAGGGCCCGCGAGCGACAGAAGAGCAGGAAACTGAAGTTCGCCTATGGGAAAATTGAGCACGCGATCGTTGCGCTGGTTTCCGTGGTTCCGGACACGGGAGCGCAAACGTTCAGGGCGGCCGTGCAAGCGCTGGGCCGACGATCTTTGACAACCTTTCAACGGTCACTGATGAGTCACAATTTTCTGGGAGAGCTTCAGACTGATCAGGCGGTCGTCAGCCGCAGCGCGTCGGCCCGCCCCCTTTCTGGGCACAGGCAGACTGGCGCTCCTACAACTCCTCATCCCTATCAGCGCGCGGGAAGCAGAGTCCTAGTGAAAGCCGAAAATGCGCCCCCTCCTGGAGACAGCACCGCGGCGACAGCTCGGACTGCTGCAAAGGGCGCGCCCAATTTCGGATACCCTCCAGGCGACCCAGGGCGCTCACGACCGGATGGCGCGCCTGACTCCCGGCTGCGCGCGCGGGCCACAGACGGGCGCGTCTTCGCGATCGGCGCAGACGCTCTGGCCGACGCCTCCGAAGCCCCCACCCCCGTGGCTGACGGCTATTATGGAACCCACTACTTGGGAAGTCTGGGGCCGTCGTTGCACCCAGTCGACGGCGAGGCCCTGCGACGCCCAGCTGCGACTCCGCCCGCAGTCGCCCACGGGGCGTTCGACACCCCCCGCTGGGGGGCCACGGACCAGCCCTGCAGAGGCAGGACATCGAAGCCATCCGCCAGCTCGGCGAGAGAAGTCCCTTCGCGCCCATTCGCCCTCCTTCCCCTGTCAGTGAATCGACCCGAGTGGACGGCGAACTTCGCCCTGAAGCCCAGGCCACGCCAGAGAAGGAGGTGCATGATCTGGCGACAGACACGGCGTCGGCGAACGCGCATGCACGTGGCACGACCGACGGTGCTCCCACGTCTGGCGATAGCGCGGCGGCAGATGGGGGCGCGCCCGTGAGCGAGGGCCGGCGCGGGTCCGAAGGCGAACGCCAGTGAAATGGGCCTGTCCCCGCACACCTCAGAGCTGCCAGAGGCGATCCGGCCCCTGCCTGGCGGCCAACTGCGCGGCCCGCACCGACCCGCATGGCCCCGCCAGGCGCCCCTGCCCCAGCTGCCGCCGCGCCGCTCGACGCCATGTGCGGCTCTTGCGGCGGGCCCAACCAATCGGAACTGTCGCAAACAGAGCTCGAACGCTCTGTCAAAGACAGCAGGGCTGGTTCGCTGGAGACCTACGACCAGAACGCGCGGCAGCGCAGACAGCAGGACCAGGGGCGGGCGCAACCGAGTAGAGAACCAGAGCAGCATGCGGAGCAGACGCCAGGAGAGCCCGCGGAACAGGAGCTGCCCGCCGCTCACGGGGCGGGCGCGGAAGTGGCACCAGCGCAGGACTTGGAACTCGGACAGGAACAGGAACAGGCAACCGCCCGCCGCCACACTCCCCTGGCTGCCACTTCTAACCCTGGCCCTTCCCTCTCCGATAATGGCGCGAGCTCGAGTGCCGATGGGCGACGGCAGCGCGGCCGGAACGCGCCCCCAGCGCGTCTACCCGGCAGCGGGTGGACGCCCTGCCTGGCTTCCGCGACCGGCGATTATCCAGTCCCCCCGCCGACCGCGCCGGCGGGCCTGCCAGACGGCAGACGACAGGCGGCGGGCGCGCCAGCAGCAGCGGCAGCAGAAGCAGCAGCAGAAGCAGCAGCAGCAGCAGCCGCCGCGCCAAGGACCAACCGCTGATCACCCCGCCTTTGGTGACAGGGCCCTCCGCGCGCCAATTGCCAGAACCCTTCGACCCCGACACGGGGCAGCAGCTGTATAAAGCTAAAGATCGGCGGCATCCTCTGGGGCCCCCCCAGGGAGACACCTGGCAAGACGATAAGGCAGCTTCAAGTCACCCTTGGGGCGATGTTCACGGGCGCCCGGCACGCGTTCGCCGAGCAGCATGCCGTGCCCGGCAGCAAAGGCGCGCTCGACCCGCTACGGCGCGACCAGCAAACTTGCGTCAATTTCTCGTCCTCCTTCCGCAGCCACAACTGCGACGCGCGGGCCATGAACGACGCGCTGGACCTCGGGGTTGACTGGGCTCAGCTGCGGCATCGGTACCTGGGCGGAAGTGGGCGCGGGCAGGGGGCGCAAGGCGGCGAAGGGCCACGCTGACAGCCGCGCACCCAGGAAAGGCAATAATCAGTGGAAGGTCGCCACCTAAAGCTCTGCGGGCGCGCCCGCCTTTGTTTCGCACCAGTCTGCAGCCGCCCCGCCCTTCCTGCCCCTCGCCGCCCGCTGCTCGCCGGTGGCCCTGTCGCCCCTCGCCGGCTGCTCTGGGCGGCCGCGGCGGCCAGGGCGGCTCGCGCGCGCGCCCCCGCCAGCGCCGCGGACGCAGCTGACGCCTTCGGGCGAGTCGGCGCAGTCCGCGATCGCTAGCCCGCACCACGCGCCGCCTGCGCCACCCCGTGCCGACGCCCCCCGCGTCCGTCGGTGCCTGTGGCGCGTGTGTTATAGCTGTTTTCACTTCTGGCTGGATGCTGCCAGGCCGCAAGCCCTTGCCCTCGCTCAGTAGCGCTTGCTCTTCCAGCCGCCCCCGGGCCCTCCGCGGCGCAGAGGTGCATTCCGGGGTGGTGGCCCTGCACCGCCCTTCTTGCCATCGCTGCCTCTTGGGGCCCCTCGCCCCTTCCGCCCCTCCTCAGGCAGCCGGGCCCGCAGCAGCCCTGATGGCCCTGTTTTCCTGCCCCTCCCCTGCTCCACATGGCCAAATTCTTCGTTGGCGCATGGGGCCCCCGAGCGCACGTGGTCCAGCCTGTGCTCTCCTGACCGTCGGCCGACATTGTTGACTACGTCCACTGTTTCCTGGCGGCGGTGTCCACGACACTTTTCGTGTTCACTCGACCACGTGCTTGAGGTGTGCACCTGCCCAGTTCCTGGTCAGTTCTCCTCAGATGTCGTCGACCTAGCTCGGGAGTGCGCGTGGTTTCCTTTGATCCGTTGTCTCAGGTTCAGTTATGGTGTAGATCACATCCATAGTTTCCCTGGCAACTCTGCCATGCCGTTCGTGTTCACTTTGTTCACGGTTTGACGACAGGTGTCCGGATCAGTACTCCTTTCAGGAGTCTCGTTGTGTGCGAGTTTGGTGGCGCCACGTCCATGCACTAGTTCCCTGGTCAGCGAGTTCTTCCTGGCCTTGCTGGTGTCAGCGTTCCTTCGTGACGGTGCTCCTGGCTACATCCTGGCATCGCTCCCGCGCCATTTTCGCTGCGCTCCAACCTCGGTTGGCTAATTATGCATGCGCTCGCTCCTGGACCTGGTTCCTGGCAGCTGCAGCCCGCACCACCTCGCGCAGTCTGGTCAGCTTAGGTGCTGCTTAGGCCGCCGGTTAGTCGGCGCGTTAGGCAATCAGGTTCGCACGTAGCCCGCCCGACCCTTGACGCTGCTGGCGCGCTCGCCCGCGGCCGCGACGAAAAAAAAAGTTTGATCCTTCGCGCTGTTCATTGGCCTGTGTGTCCTTTCTTCCTTCCTTGCCTCGTTTCTGGCTCTCGGCTCCCCCTCTCCCCTCTCCCTCCCCGTGCCCTCCGCCTTGCTCTTGTGTTTCCTCGCCTTTTGTGTCTTGTGTGCTCTCCCTCCGTCTCCCTGCTTGGCTTCCCTGCTCCGTCTCCCCGTCCTCCGTTTGTCGGCCCAATTTGTCCTTCCTGCCGTCTCCCCTCTCCTCCCCCATCCCCCTTCCGCTCCTCGGTTCCTCGCTTTCCCGCCTGTCTGGGTTCCTCGCCTGGCACGTTTTTTTTTGTCGGCCCGTCTTGTGGTCCGAACAAGAGTGCGCATCCCAATTGCTCGTTTCACTCGGACGCCCGGCCCGCCGCGGCCGGTCAGCAGACCGTTTCTTCTTCTTGTTATTAATATGTTTGTTCTTTGTTATTAATAGTATCAGTATTATCATTTTTATTAATATCATTATCAGTTTTCTTTTTATGATGATGATGATGATGATGATGATGATGATGATGATGATGATGATGATGATTGTTATTATTATTGTTATTATTATTATTATTAACATTATTATTCGTAATAATATTATTAATATGATTATTATTGGTAATATTAGTATTTGTTATCATCATTAGTCGTATTAGTATTCGTATTACTATTCATATTATTCGCATTATTATTATTACTATTGCTATTATTCTTCTTCTTCGGGCGACGGCAATTCGGGTTAGCGGAACGGGGCGGGTGGGGCGCCCCCCAGTTCACTAAGCCAGGACCCGCTAGACCCATTCCCGCCAACGCCCGAATGGTTACAGTCAGCCCGCATAGTAAAGATGAACACTTGTCCAAGGCTACCATGGCGTCCTCCCCTTTCGGCTTATCCTTTGCCGACTTCGCTGGTCGCGCCACGCTCGCAGAGTGTCGACATGGCCTTCCAAGGCATTTCCATCCTTTTCGCGCGTCCTACTTATACGGGTTGGCCGTACACGCGTCTTCGGTCGCGTGGGCGCCCCTAGCCCTTGGCGCCCTTCCAGGCGAGCACCTCCAGCGCGCCCGCGCGGGGGCCGCCCGAGCGAGGCCAGGCCCCCGCCAGGCGGCTGCTGTTGCCCTGCGCCTGCATCTGCTCGGCGGGCGTGGGCTGGCTCCCGGCGGGCTCAACGATTCGGTCCGGAATGTTTGGTCAGCGTGTCCCAGAAAGGCACTTATCGGGTTGGGAGGATGGGGTCGGGAGACATGACGACACCATCCGTCTTGCCCCGCAGACTGAAGATCTCATCACACAGTCGTGCTCTGTAGCTTCCCAACTCCACCCTCCCAACACGATAATCGCCTCTATCGGTGTCTCTCCGCGGGTTCTGGCCCACCACGCTTCGGCGCGACACGCTATCCACGCTCCCACTCCCCAGCGTCAACGTCCCGAGCCTTTCCGAGCCTCCCACCCCGCGGAGCGGAGCGACACGCTGTCTTCTCGGAAGGCATAGCATGTCGCTAGGGTCGCAGCGGCGACACGCTATCCAAACGCTCCCGACCGTAGTTTTCGTCGGCTCCCTCGGCAGTCTTCCAGCCTCGGGGGTGATTCCCAGCAGCTGCGCCCTGCCGAGGGCATTCCCGGGGTGCCCGGATCGCCCCGAACGGCCGTTGGAGAGCCGAGCTTCAGGAGGGAAAGAAACACACAGACACAATTGATCGTCGACTCCCAGGAAAATATGGGAAAAGATTGGAAGTGGGGGGGAAAACAAAAACCCAGAAAATATGGGAAAATATGGGGAATAGTTTTAGTTGTGTGTATTTCTTTGTGTGTCCTGGGGCCCCTTCAGAGTTATGAGCCGAAAGCCAGGGGGCAACGTCAGGGCTGGGATAGGCTCAGGGGGGGGATGCATCGACCGCCAATCGCCCGCTCATCGCCGAGAAGGGCCCGATAGACCACCCCGCCCAGGAGCGTGCGGATTCGCAAGCGGGGGCCTCTCGCTGGTCTATCGGCGCTGTATCGCCGATTCCAGGTCGATGTCCCCTCCTCAGAGCCGGTCCCCCCTGTCGCCCCCCGCGCAGATGAGGCCCCAGGGACGAGAACCTCGAACAGTGAAGGTTCAGCTTGCGATCTGCGTCCTGGCCTCAAGGCCCCACCCTCCGGGGCCCCATCTTTGAACCGCCGAGGTTCGGGAGGGGAGCGACGCTGTGGCCGAGAGCGCCCTCCGCTGCCTTGCCGGCCCCAGCGGCAGGGCTAGCACTGGCGCCGAAGAGCCCGTACGAGGTGCTCTACGACACGTGCGTGTGCGACCTGCGCGAGCTGGAGCCTGGAGGGCACCGGCTCTGCGCCTGCACCGATCCTGGCCAGGGCCCAGCCTGGGACACGAGGCGAGGGTTGTCATGAGGACCCTTCTGTGCCCTGGGGTAGCCCTCCACGGGCCCCGAGACCGAACAGACAGCGGTTCTGGAGGAGGAGCTCCCTGGGGAGGGCCCCCTGGCGTCCAGGGCCCGGCTCCCCCCGGGCCCGCTTCCTTCGGGCCTGATCCTGGGCCCGGGATCGGCCCACCGTCGGGGCGCTGGAGAAGGAGCCCATCTCGTCGGGGAGGGGCTCGTCGTGCCTTGGTCGTGTTGCAGGTCGCCTCAGGCTGTTCTGGCGCCTTCGACGGGGAGTCGAAGTTCCACTCATGGACAAAGGGGGCCGCGCTCCTTCTTCAGGGTTCCTTAGGTCGGCGCCCCGATTGCAAGCTTGGGCCCAGGCTCTTGGGCAGGATCAGTGCAGGCGTCTGGTCGGCGCCCTCCGAGGAGTGCCTTCCCGCCGCCGGGTGCCTCGACTCGGCCATGGAGAAGGCAGGCGAGCGCATTGCGCTAGGGCTGCAGACCCGCAATACGCTGAAGAGCAGCTACATGACGAAGAGCGGGGAAACACGCACGCACCAGCACGATACGATAGGCCTGTCGAAGGATTACCCGCTCGGGAAACACATGACGTATGGACCGATCATGAACTGGAGGACCTGGGTGCAGCATGGCGTACTGGCGTCCTCCATGGGAAAGGAAAACTATGGAAAGTTCATCGATCCATCTCGGTATCGATACTGTCGGGAGAACAATCTGAGCGGGCCCAAATGCTTTTGGAAAGATTTCTCCTCGGCCGAGGAGCTCGGTAGTATTTCGGCGGCGAGCGAGGGGGGGGGAAGTGAGAAGGAGAAGGCCTTCTCAGAAGGTTCGGAAGTCCCCTGGCCTTCAGAGAAGTGTCCTAAGCCTTCCCCGAAGACAGAAATGACTTCTCAGAAGGCGCGAGGGCTTTGAGAAGTCCCGACGCCTTCTGAGAAGGCCTTCTCCTTCTCATTTCCCCCCCTCGTTCGCCGCCGGGTATTGAGGAGGATACTGTGGTGCAGGTCAGAGGTAATCCCAACATCAGCGCAGATTTGGAAAGGTTTCGCAAAGAGGCGTCGTGTTCTGCTTGTGTGTACTCCTTCGCTAACTCATACTTGCTGACGTTAGCGCACATCGCGCTGATACAGTTCAACCGGCAACCAAGCTTGGAGGAATCGTTTGAGCAGCACGTCTCGATCATAAACCCTGGCGTCGGCAAATTGAGAGTTAGTTTGCACATACGGCGTGCGGATGCGTGCAGCGGGCTGGTTCGCAAGGGCTACATGTTGCACGCTTCGCCTATCAATGAGCATGCCCAAATGACGAACGTCCGGCTGTGCTACCACACCCAAGTCTACGTAAATGCTTTGCGCCGCATCAGCAATCTCTACAGTCGTCCACTCTCGGTCTACATAGCCTCGGACGACGGTGGGTCAATTTTAGATGAGATCCAACAGCTTGACTTCGATCTCTACAGACAAGCATCTTGGCATCATCTGAACTTCTCTCGGGCGGCCTTGAAGTATGTAGGTACCGTTGAAGGACAGAACGCTTCCACGAACGGATTTCTTGGAGAGACGGCTGCTGCTGATGCCTGGCTTCTGAGCCATGGCGACGTGTTCGTGGGGCATTTGGGCTCTCGCTTTACCAAAGGCGCTTATCTGCTTGCTACTGCGCGCCACAACATCCCGATCCCGTACATTTCTGTTGACGGCCACAATTATTGTTGCCAGAACGATGAGCAGTGCTCAAAAGCGACCGAGGCTCTGACAGGTATTGTTGATTGCCTCACTTTCAGCCCTGAAATTTCAGGACAGAAAAACTACGGCGACTATTGGAAAGAAGGCGTCACAGTTCGGTGGAATCAGACTCGCTGAATAAAATGATCCATTGCGTTGTCTTTTCGTTTCGAGATACGAATCATAGACGCTTCGCGTACCCCGACCAGCTCATCCAGAAACGAATATCACGGGAGTAACCAGGCCAATGCAGCAATGTCCAGCGGGTTGCAGCCCAAAGTAGCAGCTCATGTACAGCGCTGGCCGCTGCATCCCTGGCACGTTCTCTGTTGTAAAACAAGAGTGGGCAACCAGGCCAAGGGAATGAATGGAACTATCAGTGGCACGTACAGTCGGCAGAGGGAGCATCCGCCGTATCCTTCTCGCGCCCCTGCATGGTCTTGCAGTAACTGGAGGGCCTCTCGCAGGGTCGACGCAAAGGCTTCCTCGCGGCCCTGTCGAAGGAGGAGGAGGAGGAGGAGGAGGAGGAGGAGAGGGGCGAGCAGAAGAGAAGGGATCTTGACCCCCTCAGCGTCTGGCGGAACCCTGGGTGGGAAGAGGACGAGGAGGATATTGGATGGGAAGAGAAGGAGGCGCAACACGAAGAAACAACAAACAAAAACACACACACACACAAAGAACAAGGAGAAGGGGGATGGGTGAGGAAGAAGGTGACGACGAAGACGACGACGACGACGGCGAAGGCCACGACGACGGCGAAGACCACGACGACAACGACGCGGACCTTTTGCTCTGGAAGCCTCCCGGAGGCTTCTTAAGGACAACTTGGAGCCGTCTTGGCACTATTTGCAAAACTTCCGAAGCCCTCGGGGGGGTCTCTTGGGGCCTTCTTCGGAGCATAGGGGGTTCTCTTGGAGTAATCCTGAAGGCCATCGATCGAAAATGAAGGGCGGAGACACTTAATTAGCCCCGGCCCTGCCTGCGTACCCCGAAACATTGCCTCCGGGGACCGTTTGGCGACGCTCTTGGGGGGCCATGAGCGCGGTCTTCAGGGCCATTTTGGAGCTCTTTTGGGCTGGGCTCTCTTGGGCGATCTTGGGGCCATCTTGAAGCCTCAGAGGGCCATCAGACACGAGAAGGCGAGGGCTCCAAATCATTGAACTAACACTTGTTGTTGAAAGAGTTCGGCATCTGCGCGGCGTCCTTGAGAGGCTTCGAAGCTTGTTTGGAGCAGTCGTGGTGGCATCGCATGGTTGCTTGGGGGCATGTTGGGCGCCATGCTGATCTGATTTAGTGTATCTTGTGCCATATGAGGCCGTCTTGGTTACCTGGTGCCGCATGGGGGTACCCTGGACACTAACACTGGCATGCCCCCCTGGCCAGACCCAGGAGAAAGGAGAGGGGGAGGGCACCCCCCCTGAGAGAGAAGAAAGGGGGTTGGGAAGGATGACCCGCTCACCAACTAGGTCTAGAGGGGCAGGTGGGATTCGTCGTGTGGTCGGGTATACAGAGTTCCGCCCACATGTTCTTACAACGCAGCGCCCTTTTAAGTCGGCACAACAATCGAGCATGCGTGGTCATTTCGCGTGATTCATACGTTCTGTGTTATCACGTCGCATGTGTCACATTGGCCATGCGTGATTGCAGCCATTTTTGTTCCTTCCGTCGACATAGCCATCCCAATGTAAAGCGGGATGGAGTTGCTTAGAAAGTGCAAAGTTACATTTCGTGTGTATTGCATCGCATCTTCACAATGATCAGGTATCACATCTGAAAGCACGTATTATCGAAGACGCCTACGGCAAAACACCGCCGCCCCCTGTTTTTTGGAAGCGCCTGTGTGGCCGAACGTTGTGGCCAGAGCTCGGCCAAGCTATCGGACCATGTGTTCCCCCAGACGCTGAGGAACCCCTTCCGGGAACACGTGGGGGAGAAAGAAGACGAGGAGGAGAGGGAGGAAAGAGGATGAGGACGAGCAGGAAGAGAAGGAGGAGGCCTCTTGGGGCACTCTCGGGGCCTCCTGGATGCTTCCTGGGGGCCTACTAAATTGCTCTTGCGGGCATCCTTGGGCCTCTTGGGGGCCTTTGGAGGCTCCTTGGGATGCTCTTTGGCGTCTGTGGGCGTTCCTGGCCTGTCTGAAGCCGTCGGAAGCCGTCTTAGGGGATTCGTTTTAGGGGGTCTCTGGGCCAACTTGGGGCTCTCTTGAGGCGCTTTAGGGCCGTCTTGGAGGACATCTTGGGCGTCTTGGAGACATCTTAGGCCGTCTTTGGGTCCTGTTGGGGCCGTCTTGGGTGGTTCTTAGGCCTTCATGGGACAAGCGTGGGAGCCTCTTGGGCGATCTTGGGGAGGATATTGGAGGCCTCTTGGGTCGTCTTGGGCCGCCGGAAGGCCAGAAAATAGTACAATGCACAGATCCGTCAAACACCTTGGGCCCTTGCCTGCCTTGATACGCCCGTTTTGATACGCAACACGCACTTTGCTCAAAACGTCCGTGTCGATACGTTGCGTGCTGGCTCAACGTATTGGCCCACGTTTTGGCGAGCGCATCGCGTCAGACCTACGCTTTCCGTCGACGTGTGGAGCTCCGCATCACTGCGCCACGTGCTGCGTGCTGCGCATCGGGGCAGCTGAGCTTGGGCCGTCTTGGGGCCGTCTTGGGCCGTCTCGGGTGCATCTTGGGCCGCCCAGGAGGCGCACCGCGGCCATCGCGCGCCCTCTTGGGGGGTCCTCCTCGGGGGGCCGGGGGGGAGGCCGACGGGAAAGCGAACGGTGCGGGTGGGCGGCGCGAGCGGCCGAGGCCCCCTTCCGGGGGGAACCCTTCCGCGAGGGCCAGGGCCTTGTCGGACGGGGCCAGGACGAGGATCTGCGCATCGGGTGCGGGGGGGGGCACGTATCAGGAGACCTTTTTTGAAAGGGCACCCTGGGGTTTGTTCGCTCCGCGCGCTGCGCGGTGACTTCCCACCGCCGTCGAAGAGGTTGCCGCGTTCAGGGTGCTCCAGGTTTCCCCGCAGGTGCGCCTCGCGCGCGGGTTTTCAGGGTTGGGTTTCTTGCGAGGGTTTCTTGCGGCCGCGCCCGCACCGTAGGGGGTCGATTACAGAATTGATGTGCCCCGAAATTGATTTGCTCATCAAGACCATGCTAGATACGCAGACCAGTATACGTATGTTGTGTAGATTCCGACGGGAAATTCAATTTTGGGGTAAATCCGTTCCAGAGCGTTCTGGAACGCTCTCAGAGCGTTCTGGAACGCTCTGAGAAGGCCGCGGCGGCCGAGACACCCTCCACAGCCGCTGAATCTCAGATTTCCAATTTATCCTCACCCGATTTTGTCCACGTCCTCGCTTCGTCTTACCACTCAGACATCCAGCACGCCGTGCACCCCTGTGTCAAGCCACAGGGGGCGGTCTCTCGGAGGTCTTTTGGAGACGGTTTTGGTGTCCTGGGGTCTTCTCGGGAGCCTCTTGAGGCATGCTTTGGGCTTCTTAGAGGCCTCCCCTGTGAGCTTCTGGAGGGCTCTTGGAGGCCTGCTGGCGATCTCCGGGGCCATCTTGGGGCGGTGGGCTCGAAATGTCGGTTCTTGTTGGGGCCCCCTTTGGAGCCGTTCTGGGACGTCTTGATGGCGACTTGTGCCGTCTCGGGGCACTCTTGGGCAATCTGGGGGCCCTCTTGCGAGCCTCTTGGGCCGTCTTGGTCGGTCGGAAGCCCGACAGGGCGACAACGCTAGAATCAATCCAAAACTTGTAGTTCAGTTCACGACTTTGGTCTCTTCGGACACTCTTGAGGGGCCTCTTGGAGTCCTCGTAGGGCGTTTTGGGAGACACGTGGGCTGTCTTGAGCCTTCTTGGCCATCTTGGGCGCTCTCGGGCCGACTCGGGGCCCTCTTGGACTGTCTCAGAGGCCTCTTGGGGCCCTCCTGGCCTGTATTGGGGCCTCCTTGGCTCCAGCTAAAGTCACGTGAACACGCCGCGGCACGCGGGAAGCCTAGGACAATTTGAGAATTTTGGGCCCGGGCTGTTTTCTTATTCTATCATCCAGAACTGAGGACTCGAAGGACCTGAGGATACTTCCACTCGTGCCTCAGGTGATCAATGGCACACCGCGAACTCTTTCCCATCACAATAGGAGGTTTCTTTGCAAGCAGAACCCAGCTGCCAACTGCACATTGCTTTATCCCTAAGGCTGCCGCCTCTATCGCCGACCCCAGAAGAGCTCGCATGTCCAAATTCAACTGAGTGTGGCTTGTTCGGCTCCTCAAGTGGCCTCCCAGATCGTCCCAAGACGGGCGCATGTACGCGCAAACGAGCCCGAAGACGGCCCAAGAGGGTTTCAGCTCTCCGATTTGCAAATCTGCATACCTTGACTTGCTGTTAGGGTGCTTTGCTGGGGTAGTCGTTTCTTCGGGCCCTGCTTTGTTACGCCAGCACTTCATCATCATGCTAGTACGTATTACGCCCGCATCGCGGGAGCCACGGCGACCCACAGGGGGAGACGAGCACGCAAGTCTGCAATTCGTTCATGCGTTTTGTCACTGCAATGGAGGCCCATGACAAGAAGCACCCTGCTTGTCTCCTGGGTGCCTTGGGTTGCTTGGGTTTCGATGATTTTGCCATGGAAAGCGCGACGTTCCCACGCCAAAAATCAATGGACGTCCTGGGGTCTCAGGGTTAGGTTTCTTGTGGAATGTTTCTTGTGAACTGGCCTCCACTGTATTTTTTGTCAGCTCAAGATGGTTGCCAAAAGGGTCCCTCCCACCGGATTTCAAGAGAACTCGAGAGGCCCAGAAGAATTCCCAAGAGGGCCCAAGCGCCCCCACAGTTGCCCAGGGTGCCCCCCAAGACGGTCCCAAGACGACTCCAGAACGGCTCAAGACAGCCGCATTCTTGCCCCAAGACGGTCTCAGACCCCAACAATAGTTCCGAGGGGCCCGAAGATGACCCTAAGAGGCCTCAAGAGAGACCAAGATCACCCTGAAAGCGCCCCAGGATTTCTCCAAGAAGGCCCCAAGAGGACCCCATGAGGAGCCGAAATGTCTTGCGAATTGATCGCTTGGCTGGCTGGCTGGTTGGCTGCTTGGCCGATTGCCGGACTGGTTACCTGGCTGGTTGGTTGGATGGTTGTTTGACTGGTAAGCTAGCTCGCCTGGTGGCAGGTTGGCAGCTCTGTTGGTTGGTTGGCTGGTCGGTTGATTGGTTGGTTGGCTGGTTTGCTGCTTAGCTGGGTGGTTAGCTTCTTGGTTGGTCGGCTGGATGGCTGGTTGGCTCGCTGGGTCACTGGCAAGCTGTTTGGCTGGTCCGCTGGTTGGTCTGCCAGCTGATTGGTTCGTTAGCTGCTTTTCCGGCAGGCTGGTTGGTTACCAGGTTGTTTGGTTGGCTGTCTAGCCGGCTGGTTGTCTGGTCGGCTGGTTGACTGGGTTGGCAGGCTCGCTGTTTGGCTGGCTGGATGGCTGGCTGGCTGGCTGGCTCGTTGGTTGGTCGGCAGGCTGGTTGGCAGATTGGCTGGCTGGTTTCTGGGCTGATTGCCTGGCTGGTTGATTGGCTGTTGGATGGTTGGTTGGCTGTTTGGCTGGTTGGTTGACTGATTGGCTGGCTGGTTGGCCGGCTCGCCGGGTGGTAGGTTGGTCGATTGGTTGGTTGGTTGGTTGGTTGGTTGGTTGGTTGGTTGGTTGGTTTATTTAATCGCTTCGCTCATGCCGCCGGCCCTGGAGCCCTCTTTAGGGCCTCTTGGGGGCCTCTTGGGGACCTCTTGGGAGTCTCTTGGGGCTCCTTGGCGGCGTTTTGGAGGCCCCCAGGGCCTCTTGGGGGGCTCTTGGGGGTAGTCGATTGCGGCTCCCCCCTCGGAGGCCACGATCCTCGTGAGGGGTGTCGAAAAATACCCTCCCCTGGAGTGGTCTGGTGGCTTCTCCCGGGCTTCTCTCGGGACCTTGCCGGGGTACTTTTCGTCCGGGGGCCCCCAGGGGCCGCTCCGCGCGCGCGAACTAGAAATATTGTTAACAAGTTACCGGAGATCTTAGCACGCCTCTGGCCCGTTGGGCCGGCGAATTGATTGGTTGGTTGGGTGGTTGGTTGCTTGGTCGGTCGGCTGGCTGGCTGGTTGGCTGGATGGCTGGGTGGGTCATTGGCAGGCCGAGTGGCCAGTCCGCTGGAAAGCCTGCCGGCTGGTTGGTCTGTTGGTCGCTTTTTTGGCAGGTTGGTTGCTCGGCAGGTTGTCTGGTTGGCTTGCTGGCCAGCTGGTTGGCTGGTTGGTAGGCTGGCTGGTTGGCTGGTTGGCTGGTCAGTGCGCAGATTGGCTGGCTGAATGCCGGTCTGGTTGAATGGCAGGTTGGCTGGTTGGCTGGTTAGTTAGTACATTGGCTGGCTGATTGCCAGGCTTGTTGCCTGGCACGTTGGCTGGTTGGTTGGTTGCTTCGTTTGTTGGCTGCTTGGCTGGTTGGCTGGCTGGCTCGCCGGGTGGCAGTTGGCTGGTCTGTTGTTGAATTGATTGGTTGGTTCATTGGTTGGCTGGCTGGTTGCCTGCTTAGCTGGGTGGTTGGCTGGCTGGCTGGGTCACTGGCAAGATGATTAGCTGGTCCGCTGGTTTGTCTGCTAACCGGTTGGCTCGTTGGCTGCTTTTCTGGCAGGCTGGCTGGTTGTCTGGTCGGCTGGTTTGTCGGCTGCTTGGCAGGTTCGCTGGTTGGCTGGCCAGCTGGTTGGATGGCTGGTTGGCTGGTTGACAGGTTGGCTGGCTGGTTGGCAGATTTGCTAGCTGATTGCCGGGCTGGTTGCCAAGCTGGTTAACTGGTTGCTAAATTGTTGTTTCGTTGGTTGACTGGTTCTCTGGCTGGTTGGCTGGCTGGCTCGCCGGGTGGCACGTTGGCTGATCTGTTGGCTGTTTGGTTGGTTGGTTAATTGGTTGGCTGGTTGGTTAGCTGCTTAGCTGGGTGGTTGGCTGCTTGATCGGTCGGCTGGCTGGCTGGTCCGCTGGCTGAGCCACTTGCAAGCTGATTGGCTGGTCCGCTGGTTGGTCTGCTGGCTGTGGTTGTTTCGTTGACTGCTTGGCTGCTGGCTGGTTGCCTGGCTGGTTGGTGAGCTGGGTGACTGGATGTTTTGTTGTTTGCTTTGTTGGTTGGTAGATTGCTTGGCTGGCTGGTTGGCCGACTCGCCGTTTGGCAGATTGGCTGGTCGGTTGGTTGGTTGGTGGTGGGCTTGTTGATTGGTCGGGTGGTTGGTTGCTTAGCTGGTCGGTTCGCTGGCTGGGTGGGTCACTGGCACGCTGACTGGCCTGATTGGTTACTTGGTTGTTTTTTCTGCCTGGCTGGTTGGCTGGAGGGTCTGATTGGCTTGCTGGCTGGCTCGTTGTTTGATCGGCTGGTTGGCTGGTCGGCAAGCTCGTTGATTAGCTGGCTGGCTGGCTCTGCGGTGGGCTTCCTGACTGGCTGTGTTGGTGGCTGGCTTGCTGGTTGGTGTGTCGGCTGGCTGCTTGGTTGGCTGGCTGCCTGGGTGGGTCCCTGGTTGGCTGGTCCGCTGGCTGTTTCGTTGACCGAGTGGTTGGATCGCTCGCTCGATGACTCGACAGCTGGTTGGCTTCTTGACTGGCTTGCTGGCTTGCAGGCGACCTGCGTGCCTTGTCGATGAGTTCGTTAGTTGGCTGGCTCGTCGAGTAGTTTCATGGCTGGTCGGCTAGTCTGCTGTTTGTCTAGTTGGCTATCTGGCCTGTAGACCGGGCTGTCTGGTACGCTGGTTCGTTGTTTGGTTGAGTGGCGTGTTTGCCCTGCGGTTAGCAGTGTGGTTGGCCGGCTGGTTGGCTGAACCGTTTGTTGGTTGGTCGGTTGGTTGGTTGGTTGGTTGGTCCATTGTTTTTTTGGTTGGTTGGTTGATTATTTGGGAGCTTGTTCGCTGTGTTGATTCACTGAATGGTTCGTTGGATGGTAGGCTTGCTGGCTGGTTGATTGATTATGTCGTGTCATTAGTTCGATGTTTTGTTGATTGGCTCGTTACCCACTTTGTTGCCTGTCTAAGCGTTATTAGCATGCATCGCTTATCGATGTTAGCTTGTTCTGCGTGTATGACACATGCAGGTGTTTGCAAAGGGTATAAAGTCAGGACGTGAGCTCAGACCAGTCTGTCAGGCTTGAAGATCTGCCACTGTGATGTGGGGAACCTAAACGTTGAGGAATGAGGAAAGTTGGCGGTCGTATGTACCCATAAAGGGTCCATCCTGGCTTCAAGCATCCCATGTAGCGCATGCGATTCCAATGTCATCAGGGGTTTCTCTATCAGGCTCCAAATGGTCTGGGTAGCCATGCTCCCAATCGCATTGGCAGATGCTCCGTCCTACAAGTGCGAAGGCTTCACGCAGGGCCAGAACCGCCGAATCATTGCATCCGTTGTGGGACAGACAGGGCCGTCTGCTGAAACGGGCAGCTGAACAATTCACTGTTTGTGTCGACCAGGTGCCAAAGCATGGCGCTCCGTCACGAGTGGGCCGCTGACTTGCATTACAATGTTGCACCCGCGATACGGACATGACGCAAGAGAGTCTGTCTGCTCATATCTCACCACCCACCAAACCATCCCAATCCAACCCGAAGGCCCCAATTTGCAATCCTTTCCCAGTGGCGGGTGCGCCGGGAAAATTGAAAAATGCATGGAACCCGTACCCCCCTTTAAAACAGAAAAAGGAAAGTTGGATCTTCGGGTTTGGTTGTGGTGGTCTGACAGCTGGTCAATATTGCGTTTACGCGGCGCGCGCCCCATGCGCGTCAGAGCGCACACATCGTTGATTCCGCCAGGGTGCCAAGTATGCTGGCATATTTCGGTGACTACAAAGAGTATTGTTACGCCGGGGCGTGGTTTGCGATCGGCACCGTCGGGGCTGGGGAGTACGACACTGTCCTCGTCGGGCCTCCTCGGGGTGCGGCGGGGAGCTCCATCGAGGTCCCCGCCCGCCCACGAGGGTGTCCCCCAGGGTGCCAGTTGCAAAGTGCACCCTTTGCAAATCACACCCTTCGGACTCGCCGAATATGGCAGCCTCGTCCTGGCCCGTTGTCCCGCTTCGGGTCCGTCAGGGCAGTGGGCATCCTCCACGACGCCATTCAAGGTGGCAAGGACTTGCGCAGCCGCGGGGGCCAAGCTGCACGGAGCAGGTATTGGTTTCGGCCGCCGTGTTCTGGTTTCTCGGCGTCGCTCTGACGTGTGCATTGTTCTCGGAGGGGAGCATCGGTGATCATTTGGACGCCCACCTCGGACAGTCCGCCCCGATGTGCTGTTTCATGTTTGTTCGGAAAGTTTGTTTCCCTTGTGCGGGATGACATTCAGGTATGGGGTAGGAACTCATGTTGCTAAGAGTGTTTCTCTGGGTTCGTGCCTGCAGACAAGCGTGGTGGTTCCGTGCGTTGGGCACAACACTGCCCCGCTTGTGCTCGCTGGTGTCGTAAAGCTGAAATTCGCGAGACTATCCATTACCAGGCGCTTCTTCTCGTCCACCTTTCTCTTTCTCACATTCTATCACTTGATCTCCCCATTCATCCATCCATCCCTCTTGTCGAAGGTGTTCTACTTTTGCTGAGCCCGCAGAGCAGGAGTCAGGGCGAGCCCCCAGGGGGAAGCTCGCACGCCAATTTCGCAATCAGTGGGTGTTCGGGGTACGGCCTTGACGAGGGTCGGCACCGATCGTTGCAATGTTTCGTGGGCCCGAATTTGCGCCCCTTGTGGGATTGGGTGGTCTTGGGGGCCAGCTACGGGCCTTTGGGGGGACCATGGGCTACGAAGTGCGTGAGGTGTGTGCCGAATGAAGGCTCCAAGAAGCCGCCTTGACAGGCCAACTGAGAGCCCGTGGGGGTAATTAGAAGCACGAAGTGCGTGAGGGTTGTGCCGAATTGAGGGTCCAAGAAGCCGTCCCGGGGGCCAGCTGGGCGCCCACGGTGTACGAAATGCGTGAGGGGTATGCCGAACTGAGGCGCCCGTGAGTCTGAAAGTGACAATGATCCGCACGTTTACGTCCCCCAGGGGCCTCGAGGCGCACATCCTTCGTGTTCTTGCGTGCGCGAGTAGCCCGAGAGCGCAGATCGCACGTATGTCTACGTGCCAGAAGGAGCATCAAGGTGCGGCCGCCCTGCGGAAGGCGCGGGGCCCCTCTCAGCATGCCTCATACATGTCATCTCACCCTCCTCCAGTCATCCTCCCTGTCGTCATCTACCCTCCGAGGTTACAGCACGGCCAGGGCCCGCAGGAGGCCCGCCGAAGTCATCGCTTCGCTCATTCCGCCGGCCTATATTGCATCACTGGTGCTATATTGTGGCGTGGTCGTGGCGAGCGAGGGGGAGGAGGAGAAGGAGGAAGAGGGAAAATGGGGACGAGGCCTCACGATGGCTTCTTGGGGCGTTCTTGGGGCCAAACCGGGTCGTAGACAAGACGCCTCTTTGGGATGCTTCTTGCAGCATTTTGGGAGGCCTCTCGGCTGCCTCGTGGCGATATTTGGGGGACTTCCTGCGGCCTCTTGGGAGCCTCTTGGGCCTCTTGTGAGGTGTCTTTTGCGCCCGAGGGGCCTCCTGGGGGCCTGCTGGCGATCTCGGGTGCTATCTTTCGGGGAAGGGTTCGACATGTCAGCTCGGATTCACCCTCTTGGGGCCCTCTTGGGAGCCTGGGGGGCCCTCTCGGGAGGGTGTCTTGGGGCCCTCTTGGGCTGGCTTGGGGCCGTCCTGGGAGGCTCTTGGTTTGACCTGGAGCGATCTTGGGGGCATCTTTGGCCGTCTTGGGCGGTCGGAAGCTCGAAAAGGCGGCGATGCCCAACTCGGTCCACAACCACTTGGAAATTTGGCCTCTGCGGGTCCTCTTGGACTCTTGGGCCTCTCCGGGACCATCTCGGGGTGATCCTGCGGCCTCTTGGGACTTGTTTTCGGGCCGTCTTCAGGCCTGCCACCCACTGATCCCAATTCATGGGCCCTCTTAAGAAGATTCCCATTACCAAACAGTGAATCTGACGGGAAATGTGGCCGATTGCTTGTTTGACAGCGGGGATCCCATTGTCCAGCGGGGAAAGCTCGCTCAGCACTTTCCGCTGCAATTTTGCGCCCTCCCCCCCCCCCCCGTGCCCCCCTGTCCGGGGGGAATTATGGGGGTGGGCCCCCGGGTGCGACGATGAGCGCCCCGAAGCCCGGCCCCAAGGAGTTCCGCCATCCGTGGCCGCCGCCCTGTCGGGACCTGTCCAGGCTACAGTCGGGGCGCTGAAGAAAGAATCTGTCTCCTTTGGGAGGGGCTCAGTGTTCCGCAATTGGTTTACAGTTTGCCTTCGGTATTCCTTCGGCTTTCGGTGGGAAACCGAAGTTTAACTCATGGGAAAAGGGGGCCTCGTTCCTTATTTAGGATTCCTTAGGTCAACGCCCCGACGATACCTTTCCTCCAGGGACCCCCAGGAGGTCCGCCCCACGCGCGCGCTGATCCCGGCACCGGAGATTTTAGCACGCCGCCAGCCCGTTGGGCCGGCTAACTCCTGCCGTTGTTTTGCCCAGTCGTGCTCACAAACGAGGGGCGCATTCTGGCAGAGCTTCCCGTCGCCACTGTTGGTGTCAGTTGCCCCAGCTTGCAATGCCCCCTGGTTCATGTGATGCTGTCTGCTTCTGGTCGACAGAGGAGGCCAGGAGGAGAGAGGGAGAGAGGGAGAAGGAGGGTGGAGGGAGGGCTCTGGAGGATCGAATAAGGAATGAACAGGGCGAGGGGGGAACGGAGAATGGAGGACGCAAGAGGGAGAGGCCAGAGTTCGAGGAAGAGGAACAACGAGTGAGAGACGGGACGAGGGAGGAAGGAGGAGGAGAGCGCAGGAGGAGGATAAAGGATACACACATATATATATATATACATATAAAGGATAAAGGATAGAGGATAAGGATACACATATAAAGTGGCACGTGTGTGCCCAGGCTCATACAACAAGCTGAAGGGGCGTTTGAAGCAGGAGTGACATGCAACAGCGAAGTCGCACTCGAGCGCAAGTGGGGTTGCCACACCTTGCGATGTGTGTACCAGGGCCCCCCAGGAAGCCTCAGGAGGCCCGACTTGGATACCAGAAGAGGCTCCAGGAGGCCCCAGGATTGTGAGTGTTGTGTGTGTGTGATGTGTGCTTTGTGTGGTGCGTGCTTTTTGTGTGTTGTCGGTGTTGTGTGTGTATGTTATGTTTGTCTAGCGTGTGATGTGTTGGGCGTGATTTGTGTCTCTGTGTGTGCATGTAGTTCTGAAGCCCCAGGAGGCCCCAGGAGGCCCCAGGCGGCCTCAGCAGGCCCAGGAGAACTCCAGGAGGCTCCGGGGCGGGGTCTGGGGTACCAGAAGGTCCACAAAGCCCCAGGAGGCCCCAGGAGGTTCCAGGAGGCCCCCAGGAGGCTCCGAGGAGGGGTCTGGGGCTCGATTTTGGGAGGATGTCTCAGGCGAAACCGCCATTCTCTGAGAATCGGGGTCAAAATTATTGAAATTACCATGTGTTTTAGAAGGTTTTATGTTAAAATGTTGAACTTCCCATGTGTTTTTTGGACCCTGACGTCACGATCTGCGTGAGGGGTGCCACCGGTTTTCAGAATTCCGAGGATGTCCCGAGCGAAACGGCCAGAAAAAAACGCGGACGACGTGCGCATTAATCGCATCTGAGCTCTACTCCCTCGGAGAGGTGCGTATGATAATATATATATATATATACATACATACATACATATATATATATATATATGTATGTATACATATATTTATATGTGTATACATATATATATATATATATATATATATCCGTAACCACTTTGGCTCAAGTCCAGAGTGTATCGCTCAGGTTTGCCCGTGGGAGTCGCGGCCCGCACCGACCACAGTTCTGAGCGACCCCGCGGTGCTCAGGATACGTTTTTGGGGACACCATTTTCACTGCCACAGTGCTGTATTGAGGTTTCATCTCTCACTCCCTTCGATATCGCCATGTTCCCCTCGCGATTCTTTCCTGCTGGGGGGAATGCCTGATGGGGCTGCCTCTCAACCGCGTCGGCATGGCAAGGCTTCTGGCGCTGGTGGCTCTCGGCGTCGCGGCAACCCACGTGGAGAGGACGACGACCGCAGCAGGAGCGCGGGCGCCGACGACCTTTTTCCAGAGCGGCGCCGACCCTTGGCAGCGACAGGGTGATGATGACCGTGCTGATACTGCTACTCCTGTGGCCTCGCAGCCTGCGACCCCGCGCAGCGCCCCTGGCCCTCGGGCTCCTCGGTCGCCTGGCCGTCGCGCGGGGGCGGGAGCTCGTGGATCGGACGCCCCCGTCCTGCACTCGGAGCTGGAGGACATCCTCGGCGCCATGCGGGACGAGATCGCGGGCACGGTGCAGGGGTCCAACGACGCGCTCACGCTCTCCATCACCAACAGTACCACCAGCGCGCTGCGGCTGTTCGGGGAGCGCCAGGAAGCCAAGAATGCGCAGTCCGTCTCCAAGCTCTCCAGGGAGCACCGCGAGATGCGCGAGCAGCCCGCCATGCTGGAAAAGACTATGGCTGGCTGCGAAGCCGCCCCGCCGATCCAGATAATCGGGGACATCGCGGACTGGGCCAGGGATGTGGACAAGTCCGTCTTCGTGGTCTCGGCGAAGGAGGCTGTCACGCACGAGGCCGTCCTCGCCTGCGTCCGACCGTGGCTCACGGACGCCGAGCTGGACGACTCGCAGTGGTCCGTTGAGGCCCCCTCGCCTGGCAGGCGTATCCTCATTCGCATGCGCGGCGCCGACGGCCTCGCTGCTCGCAGGGTCACGGCAGCCCTCATGCAGCTCAGGAAAGACGGCACCTGGGGGCGCTTTTTCCGCGCCCCCGGTCGATGGCAACGTCGTCAGCATCTTCATCGGGCTGGACAAATCCCCCCGGGCCATCCGCCGCGAGATCCAGACCAAGCGCCTCCTCGAGCTGGTCAGCAGCTCTGGGGCAGCGGGCCGCTGGCGCGCCAACCGCCGCGCAGGCGCCATCAGCGACGGCAGCAACTCGTCATCAAGATCGCGGTCGGTTTGACAGCGGGGGACCCCGCCATTTTGGAGTGGAACTATCGCGCTGTGTCTGGTGCTCAGTTGGACAAAGACAGTACCAAACGGGCTTTTGACGAG